TGGGTGAACTTATAGAGCGGTGAGTCTGCACAAGACTGGATCCAGCACAAGTAAATGAAGACCTTTTTCTTTTTCTGTTCATATTATTGGGTTTATAGCCTCTTAATCTACATTGTGTTGAAATTATTTCGTGATAAATTTTCATGAAGTGTGCACTATCATTAGTCTTAAACAATTAAGAATGAATTAAAATAATTGTAAACTCAAACGTTCAAGAAGATTGATAATGAGAAATATCGGAGTTTACTTAGATATGCACTATGAAACCGTAGGGATCCCATTCTTATACCATTATGGCAATCACTAGAGAAGCATACAATGATTATTATATACTTGTGATCTTTTTCTTTCGGTAAACCCCTCCCGCAGCCTCTATAATCCACAAATTCTCAAAGGGTTTCAAATCCTAGGGACACCCTCTATACCCTACATGCCAACTACCAAACAATAAAGGTTTCCACCCAAGATCTGGTAGGGCGGTGCTGCCCTTTCACAGATTACGTGCCCCCACATGCAAATTATTTTGTTTTTTCTAGAACAAGAAATAATTCCACATTCTAATTTGACCATTCGGCTTTACATTCTCTGCACCAAGATGCATGCCATTAGTCTGCCGGTCTTTCCCTTCCTCCTCAATTTACTGCAACAAATCAGACGGACCAAAGCAAACCTTCTTTGTCTACAGAAGAATGGTGGCTTGATCAGTTTGGTGGGTACCACTTTTTGAAGACTTTGTGTGGTGAACCTTGTGAGAATTTCATATGGGTTTTTTTGGTAAGGGTACCCTTTGACAAAAGGGTCAATTACCCCACAGTTTTGACCCTCTGATCACCCCTGTTGCCCTTTCACATGGCACCACGTGATATTGCCATTGTGTTGGCCCTCCCTTTTCAGGACACTGTGCTTCCATAATTGATGACCAAACTGAAACTCTAATAGCTCAAAGCTTAAAAAGATAGCTGCTATTTAGTAGTTACTTATTACTGCCATGCCTTGTAACTTTTCAGTGAAGATATGTGATCGGAAACATTTTTATGTAATGGGTGTGAAGGCTGGCAGGCTGCAAGACAGCGCAAGTGAACAGGCATATTGCAGGATTTGAATCCCCGATTAGCGTTTTTATCATGCATACATTAATTAGCTGTGTTCGTAGGGACAAGTTGAAAGAGTGAATTTGTATAAATTTGTTCGCTGGGACATTTATGTAGGATGAGGGCACATCATTACGTATACTGATATAACCATGTGAATGCATATGCTAAAAGTCACACTCGATCAGTCTCATTCATCCCAATTCACAAGGGCTGTGCTTATATCAAGCCTTCAATAAATGAGTCGAGCCCAGATGAGTTAAGACTATAGCTCTATTCATTGATCTACTTGAGCGTTTAGACTTAAAAATCCGAGTTGGGCCAAGTAAATCAATATCAATCTCCTTATATCAAGAAAGGTGCTTTCGTTTTTCTTAACGATCTTGCGAAGGTTACAAAGCAAGAGACTTGTAATTCAAGTAAGAAAATTTACCCGTACAACTAAGGTCTTTAGGTCTGACTCCCCCATTCTCTCAATATCGCTAGTGTCAACCAAAAACGAAAAAGAAAAAAAAAAGGTGTATGGGATGTAGATAATGAATTTTATTTTCTTTCCAATCACTAGCTTTATAGGTTAACCCCCGTATTTCAATATTTTTCGTAGTATTTGATTGGTGTACTAAGTAGATGTTGTTTTATGTTAGAAGTGGTATCCCAAAAATTACAAAGAGTGTGCAGGGCAAGGCGGCTACGATCATACAGTGTGTGAGTGGGCTTTTGCTTTTAAATTATGTTATACGTATGTGCTTTTGAAATTGGTTTTATGAAGTACTTTTTATATCATGCTTTTCTTTGCGTTTACTAAGATAATGCAAATGTTTATGTGTTCACAATAATGTGATTTATAATCTTGTGAACTTCACTTTGGAACGTTATGCTATTATGCAATACTTTATGCGATATAATGATTTTTGACACTTGTGATTAAAGAGATTATTTATTGTGGAGTCTAAAATAATTTCAAAAATTCTAGAGGCGACACGTGGACTTTTATTTGAGAAAGACAATATTGCTTTCAATAAATAGGCAGGCTTCTCAGATGCTCCCAAGCGCAACTCACATCCCTGGAGGTCTTAGCAGCTGAATACGACTGCCCACAGCTCACATGCCCTTGGCAAAGAATTAAACATAAGGATTAATTACCGAAATCCTATCTTTAATACATTCCCAATTGAAGATTGACTCCAATCAAGTAAGTAATCATAATTTAAATAAATTAGGGATAATTACATCATTATCTCAAGATATTATTTCCTATTTAATATCTTGGGAATATTTAGAGAATATATCTCCATTAAACACTATGGCCGGCTAGGGATGGCAATTCTAACCGTTAAACCCGATAATCGTCGATAACCGCCCGAATGGATTGGATTTGGATATGAAAATTCGGGCATGGTTTGGATATGGGGAAAAACTGTGAACTTTATTTGGTTATGGTTTTGGATATGGTTATAGGGGTACCCAATCCATATCCGTACCCGAATCCGATCTGAATATTATATATATATATATATATATATTATATTTTATTCAATTAGGCCTTTGGAAGTCTTGGAATTATGCCCACAACGTATTCAATTATTCCTATCCCTATAGTACTAATTCATTATGCATGCATCAAACCCTACACTATCTTTATTATGCACCAAACATCATACATGGGGCATACCAACAACCTCATCAATTCAATACTCTTATTGTTATACTCAACCAAATTAATTCATTGAATCATTTTATATATCAATTATCAAATGTTCCAAGTTTATCAAATTTATCTTTCTTCAAGAGTCTCATTGTCAAGAAATTGGTGCATGTTGTCAGCTCAATAGGTAATCTTTCATTCTTTTTCATGTTATTTGATTCATGCAAATTATCAATTAGTGTCAATTTTTGAATTTATTACATATGTTATGAGCCCATAGAATTATGCAAAATTAAATCAATAATTGTCTTCTTGTTTGTTGTTATATATTTAGTTTACGTGTTTTGTCTTCCATTCGTATTTGTTTTTGTCATCTTTTTCTTTTTTATTGGACCAATTTATCATATTGGCTTATCATGAACAACTTCAAATATATATTGTTATATTTTTTTTGTAATTGGATGTGACTATTTAATGGCAAAATTAGTATCTACTAAAATTTATAGTGCGTCAATTGGATGAATATTTTTTTTTATTTTTTTTAACGAAGATGGATATAACCGATAACCGATTGAAAATCCGTTACCCGGTGGATATGGTTATGGATAATCCCCGATGGTTATTTTGCGGTTATGGGTATGGTTAATTTTCGTGGTTATGGGGATGGATATAGCATTTCCGTCCTCAAATCGAACCGTTGCCATTCCTATGGCCGGCCCTATCCCTATAAATACCTCATATTCTATCAATTTTTTAGAGCTTTTTGCAACCCTAAAAAAGCTCAAAACACTTTACTCTCTCAGAGAAACTAACTTAGGCATCGGAGATCTGTTGAGCTAACCCCTCCACCTCGTGGGTGCGTAAGGCTTAGGTCTCTGATCAAAGTTTTTGATTGTTTTGCAGGTGCATTTTCGTCAAGACTGACGACGGTGGGAATTTGCATCGACCAATTGGTGCTTTCATTAAGAGTTGATTCAAAATACTCGAAGAAGCCTCTTGCATTTGTTTCTTGAATTTTCTGTAACGTTGAATTTCTCACATGTCGTATCAATTAATTTTTTCTACAAAAGTTTCTTGATCAATCCCTGAGGAAAGGATATAATGGTAGGAAATTTAGAAACTATGACGAACGAAACCCCGTATGTGCACGGATTTGGACCGAAGAGTGGAGACGAGGACATAGCCCCATGGCGGAGATCCTCAAGGCTTAAAGCCATGGCAGGAGGAGCCCCACCGCTGCGGAGTTGCGCCACCACCATTACCACCGTGACCCAGCAGCCACGGCAGGGTAACTCGGCCACAACACCATTCCCACCGTCACTGCCCTTGTAGTGCCGCACCTAGCCAAACCCTAGGTAGGAGGCACAGGTCTATTTTTAAGCCTATGGGCAAGAGGCCCAAAACTTGGCAGCTGCCACAGCAGGCCTAGGGCAGGAGGCCCAACCTATTGCAACGGTAAGCTTAACTGCACAATAGGCCCAAACCCGAGCCCAGAACGTGACTGCTGCTGCCAGCCAGGCAGCTTAACGTGCTAGAGCCCAACCACCCAGCTAGCAGGCCATGATGTTGTAGTCCAATGACCAGAAGGGCCCACAGTCATGCAGGCCCAAGGCAAGCAGACACTGGTTCAACAAGCCCCACAACCTGCTCTGATGACCTGGCCCGTGGCCCAATCAATTCCAAGGCCACATTCGGTGATCTAGATTCTGACCACAGATCTCGCGATTGATTCAGGGTTACTTGCGGCTTACATTTCTGCAGGAATGCTCACTTTGGGCTCAAGTTTAGTACCTGCAGTCACTATACTTCCACCACACATGGAGATGCACATTTTCTAGACCCTTCCAATCCAAATGGCGAACAGGTTGCTAATTTGACGAACGTCCTTGAGCAACAGACCACCTTGGTGAACCAACTTATCGAGCGCATCAAGATACAATGCGCACTAGATAAGGTGTCCCGAAGTAGGACAAGGGCGGAAGAACGAGACTTATTCCAACGACATCTCGACTAATAGCTGCTCAGCACGCTAAGAACAGTGGGTTTGGGTTATGTGCATTCTTGTTTGGGCCCTCGTGGAAACATCTTCTCCCACCTAGATGTGCACGGAAGTGTTCATTCTCGACTAGGCTCACGAGTCAGTGCGCATTTGAGGTTGGGTTCATACTTCGACGAGCACTCAAGATATTCCAGGAGAAGCATCCACACGAGGCTAGGCCTACAAGGAGATCCTCCTACGAGGCAACGAAGTAGGTAGCCGCATGATGCCTAGAGAAGAGCACGTGAGCAGCCCAGCTCAAGTTCCACTAGCAGCACTTGCCCAGAGCGGCGGTGAGCAGCATAGGGAGAACCGCATGAATCGCAACTGCGACACAAACGAGCAGGACAAGCCGAAGAGTAACATGGACTGGTCGGTCAACACAGGGGGTTGCTGGAGGCTCCACTGCCCCACTAGGTGCAAATCTAGGAGGAAGTACAAAAGCTCGTAGCAGAGCAGCTATGCGAATTCCAGCTCATTGACACTACCGATGATGCCCTCCATAAAGACGTGGCCAAATTGAGTAGGTCACCATTTACAGACGAGATTAAGTAGACGGAGCCACTGTGGAAGTTCAACTCGCCACATTTCACCTCATTCAGGGAAGATGAAGATCCGGAAGACACTTAATGCACTACCGAAGTGCCATAACGCTATACGCCAACAATGATGCTTTCATGTGCAAGATCTTTGCCACGACGCTTTAAGGCGAGGCGCAAGATTGGTTCTACACCAGGTCGCCACATTCAATATGGAACTTTAACGAGCTTTCCTTAGCTTTCACGAAGGAATATTCGTCCTACCGCTTGATAAAAAAGAAGTCTGATCACTTTTTCAACTTGAAGAAAGACTCGGAGGAGTCACTCTGCACTTACGTTAAGAGATTCAAGGCGGAGAAAGCGAAGATTGTCGGATGTGATGACAGCATCGCATGCTCAGCTTTCCGAAAAGGGCTCTCTGCAGATTACCTACTTTTCGAAGGATTGATTATGGGTGAGAACCTGTCCTTGGCAAACTCTTTTGCTGTGGCAGAAAAGCAGTGCCTTTGGGATGAAGAAAAACACTCCCAGAAGCCGCCTGAACAGCCGCGCAAAGAAGCGGAACTGACTCAAAATAAGGTGAGCGATAAACCGCTCAACAACAAAAATAAGCTAGAAAACAGATACAGGGATTGGTCCCTAGCAAAGGGAGACATAGCGCCCAAGATGTACACCAAGTTCTCAGTCTCGATCAACCAGATCCTTCGTGACCTCAAGGACAAGCCATGGTTTAAGCCACTGCCACCCATAAGGGGCAACTCCTCTAAGATGGAGCAGACCAAATACTGCGCATTCCATAGAAGTTCTAGGCATACAACTAATAATTGTACCACATGGAAAAGGTACATTGAGCAGCTCGTGAAAGAAGGCAAATGTGACCAGTTTGTCGACAGACCAACTGCCCGGCCAAGACAAGAAGCAGATGCTGATGCCGAGCCTCCAGCCAAGACAATCTAAATCAATGGAATCTTTTCTGAATCCGAGCATTTGGAGGCCACCAACAACTCTAAGATGAGGAAGATCTAACAGGCAAGATCGGTCAATTAGATTCAAGCCATAGATGTTGTACCTGGGCTAATCGTCAGCTTCATCGAGTAAGACACTGAGGGAGTAGATTTTCCCTATAACGACGCCCTGGTGATTTTTGTACAATTGGCCCATGCCATCGTTGACAGAATCATGGTGGACAACGGTAGCTCAGTCAACATCCTACAACTGTTAGTCATCCAGAAGATGGGCCTGGAAAAAATGATCCAACACAAAGCAGATGTCTTGACTGGATTCAATGAACTCACCACAACTGTCGACCGATGCAAGCCCTTCTTTAAGGCAATAAAAAAGGCGTAGAAGGATAAGTGAGACGATGAGTGCGAGAAAGCATTTCAGGACCTAAAGAAGTACTTAACATCACCTTCACTATTATCCAAGTAGGAAGCAGCGGAGAACTTGTACATTTATCTGGCGGTATCAGAAGTAGTAGTAAGCTCTGCCCTTATACGAGAAGAGTTGGGGGTTCAACTGCTTGTATTCTATACATCCAAAGCTTTCATCGATGCGGAAACCAGATACCCAAAGATTGAAAAGCTAATTTTGGTGCTAGTTGTTGCAGCTCGGAAGCTTAGACTTTACTTTCAAGGGCATCTGGTCATCGTTATGACCTAGTACCCACTGCGATCAGTTTTGCACAATCCAAACGCTTCTAAACGAGTGATGAAGTGGGCGTTGGAACTTGGCCAATATGGCTTAGCATACCAACCCTGCACGGCGATAAAAGCCTAGGCATTGGCAAACTTTATAGTAGAATTCACCCTAAGCCTGAATGATGCAGCAACACAGCCCGAAATGCCCCGAAGGCAGCTGAGCATGCCATTGCCCTACCAACCCCACTTGATGGAGATTTTTGGCGTTTGCAAGTAGATAGATCATCCAAACATCAAGGATTGGGGGCAGGCCTAGTTCTTACTACCCCAGATGGCTCGATGCTCGAGCAGGCGATCACTTTAAGCTTCAAGGCATTAAACAATGAAGCAGAGTATGAAGCCTTACTAGCAGGTCTCCGATTGGCAAAAGACCTAGCGGTCAAAAAACTCGTATTCTATTTCGATTCCTAGCTGATCACTAACCAAACTTCAGGGGAGTACACATCAAAGCATCTAAGGATGGCCTAATACCTCGAGAAGGTACGAGAGCAGCTAGCGACGTTCCAGGCGTACACATTCACTCAGGTTCCATGAGTAGAAAATACCCACATAGACGCACTAATAAGCCTAGGCTCTGCGCTAGACCATCAGCTCAGGCGTTCCATCCTAGTTGAGTACTTGGAAAAGCTAAGCATAGATGAGGAACCATCAGTCGAGGTGGTGCAGATCAGCACAACCCTGAGTTGGTAAGATCCCTTCATCGACTACATAGTCAATGGAACACTCCCCGCAGATAGACTGGAGTCCAGGAAGCTCCAGATGAAGACAGCACGCTACTATATGTGGAACGACATGCTCATTCGAAGATCCTTTTCAGGACCGTATCTCTGCTGCCTATCGTTTTCTGATGACTTGAAGATTCTTAGCTCAATCCACAAAGGCGTCTGTGGAAACCACTCTGGAGGCCACTCTTTGGATCAAAAAGCTCTCAACGCTGGCTATGTACAAAAGTGTGACAGCTGCCAGTGCTTCAAGCCCGTGCCTACACTACCTGGTGACAAAGAAATTGACAAGTAGTGGAATGCCTACAACCTCCCACCACTTCTTGGACCCTGTTCAAGATGAAAACGTTTGAAGACTCAAGCAGCTCAACGAACGAGATCTCTCATGTCAAGAATCATCAGTTGTTATGCCATTATTGCTTACGATCAAAGTTAATAAAAGCCTCTATTTTCAATGAAGATTGAAGGAATTATTCACAAGTTTGGGCTAAATGAATAAACAAACCGACCAGCTTATGATAAGCAGAAAACACTTGCTACCCTGCAGGTATGGCGTAAGCTCTCCAGTGAGAGAGGATAAACTAATCAACCCTGGGACAAGCAGAAGACACCTGTAGCCCTGCAGATATGGTGTAAGCTCTCGAGCGAGAGATGATAAACTAATCACCTATGTGACAAGCAGAAAACGCTCTATGCCTTGCAGATATAGTGTACCCTTGTGACAAGTAGAAAACGCCCTATGCCCGTTCAGACATAGCGTGTACTCTCCAATACAAGAGGGTAAACTAATCCGGAATATCCAAACGTGGATGGGTGGTACGACTGTTCAGTTTCCCCTGAATACAGCGACTACTTAAGCTGGACGACTCCCAGAATTGGCCATTACAGTCATTCCCCTGGAATAGATTTAGCCAACTGCAGGATTCAATTTCGCGGGATCCGGGGTATTTAACTGGAAGAAACGCTAAGTGCAGAACCCCTGCCCATGAAAGAATTCGTGTGACAAGATGGTATGTCCTCGACATGTAAATCTTCATGAAGTGACTTGGTTTTAAAGTGTTGCAATACTAGTTAAGCAACCTGCGGAATCAAAGTTGCGACTCAGAAGGATATGGCCTCTGAGGTGCGATTTTTCCTACATCTTACGCCTAAAATGCCTCCGTGAGCCAAGAATGACGCCTAAAGTGGTTACGCTGGTCGTTTGCTTCTGTAAGTGAGACGCCCGGCCGACGACCCAAAGGCTGGTGGCCTAAGGCAATTTGTAAGCTGATACTTACACCTACTATGACTATGAGGACTTGCTTACTTACTTAAAACAACGCTTTCGGTCGACAGTCTAAGGTTTAAGTTTTGCTAGGAAAAAGTCGAGGTACGACTATAGTAGCTAAACGGACATCCTTTGTTTCTTATGAGAAGCATAAGTCTGGTCGACGACTCTGTAAGTTAAAAATCTCGCAACATACCCTAGGAGGGCCAAAGCTCAAGAAGCCACTAAAGTCGAATGTCATGACTATAGCGGTTATGTGGATCTCCTCTGCTTCCTACAAGAAGCATGAGTCCAGTCAATGGCTCTATAAGTTAAAAATCTCGCAACATGGCCCGGGAGGGCTAAGGCTCAAGAAGCCACTCGAAAGCCTATTTATAACCATAGTAGACACGCGAACTCCTCTGCTTTCTACGCAAAGTACGTGTTCGACCGCTAGCCCTATAGGTTAAAAGTTTTGCAATACACTTTGGGAGGGCTAAAGCTCACGAAGTTATCCAAAGCTGAGATTCACAACTAGAGTAGCTGCGCAAACTCGCTTGCTTCCTTCGGAGGCAACGAGTTCAGCCACCGGCTCTATAAGTTGGAAATCTTGCATTTTTCCTCTTGCAGGTAAAGCTCTATAAGCATTAAAGCCAAAACTAAAGCCTAAAGTGACTATGTGAATCAACTGCTCCATCAAAGTAGCCAACACGACTGCCCATCCTATGCTAAAGTTTTGCAAGTTGCCTCAAGCAGGCAAGGCTCTCGAAGCCCTGAAGACAAAGCTAAAACCTAAGTGACGACGTGGGATCGGCTGCTTCATTGAGGCAGCTCACCCAGCCCAACGTCTTAGGATAAAGTTTTGCAAGAAATATGGCGAAATAGAAGGATGAAGCAAAACAAGGAAAACTGTTTATTAAATTTCTAACAAATTGATAAACCGGCTCGAAGGCCAACAAAGTTCAAGCAAAGCAGAACAAAAAGAAAAAAAAAGAAAAATCCTAAGTTTAAGCAAAAAGACTACTCCTTGGCAGCTTATGCAACCATTGGTTCCTTGATTGCCACGCCTTCAGCAACCGCATTGCTCCCTGCATCCAAAGCTTACATCAGCTCATCCTCAGCCACCCCCTGCCTGGACTACCTGACCTTTAGCTGCTCCACCAAATGTAGCCTCAAATGAGAAATCAAGCAGATCAACTGGAGAAATGGAAAAAGTCTCAAAGTCCTTCTTGGAAGACTCATAATTTGACAACTTGCCCTGAAGATGGTTTACAAAGCCAAGCTTGAAGAAATCGGCTTGACAAGAAGCAAGTGCCACTTTGTGACCAGCTTTCTCATTCTTCAGTTGCACATTCTATTCAACAAGCCTAATGTGAGCGCCCTGCAGCTCATCTAGTTTATTTTTCAAGTTCTCGCTAGCAGACAGCGCACCTTGCAGATCCACTTCCTTGGACTCAAGCTTACTAGCAACCTACTTGAGACGAGACATTTCAGTATGCATGAAGATAAGCTCCTCGTCCTTGGCAAAGCAAATAGATTGTAGCTCCGAATTGACACGTTCAAGGTCATCGACCACCGGAGAAACACGACTAACTTCCTTCTTTACAACTTCCAACATCGCCTGAGTTACACTAAGCCTAGCATTCAAATGGGTGACTTCCTGATGAGCGATCTCCAGCTACAAAGAAGTGGGGGCAGAGACATCAGGCCCTTTCAAAACGACGAGTTCAGATTTGAGCTTCTTGATCTTTTCAGCTGCTGAGCGAAGCTGAGTCACCATTGCCACTTTGGCCTCCTTAGCACACTTGACAGCATCTTGGCCAACGCGCATAGACTCAGCTGCCAGGATCAAAGTCTTATGCATTATAGTAATCAGGAAGGATCTCCTCGAGGAGGCAGGACCCTTTGCAAAAGAGTCTGAGTAGAGGACAACTTTCCCAACACTGTTAACAAACTTGGTGCATGCATCGATGTCCTTAAGCAGCTCAGCTTTCAGCAGTGCACAAACCTCGGGAAACTCTCTAGCCTTAGACTTGATAGATCTCTCATAACTGCCCGTGCGAGCAGATTTCCCTTTCATAGCAGACGAGTCAGTCACGGCAGAAGGAGGAACAAGCTCAGGCGCCATCTTAGCAGCATAATCCACCTTCCCGTTTTTCATAACGGTGAGTCTCTCAGAAGTAAAACCAGACTTAGCTCTCGACGGACGCTTCGATACAAACTCAGACACTGGAGGCGTCGCCGAACCCTTCTGCTAGGCAAGTTTCTCAGCAATGGATTTTGTTACCT